GTGCAGATGCATGCATCTTTGATATTCCATAGCAGCGTACTACTGTCAGACAGATTGTTTCTTGGTTTATCACCAAGTAATCTGGTGATAACAAATATTTTTTGTTCAACTCTTTATCTCTTGGAGTCTTCTATCTGCATACTAATGGAGTGTAGCTCTTTTGTTGACAGTGAGGAAGTCATGGAAAGAGACAGATCATGCTACTACAAGGTGAGATGAGGCTAATGTGAGAGTTCTAAGGTCCTTGACATAGATTGAGGCAACCTTTACAGGAGTTCCAAGAACTTGGAAATCTTTCGACCATTAATGGAGAGCTAATGGAACTATCTTGTGTTTGTTTATTTTTTTTTTTATTTCTGGTAGTGAGGAAGCGGGTAATTGCCTAGAATATATGCTGTAGAGCTGGGACTCAGAGCCCAAAGAGAAGAGAGATACAAAAGACATGAATTGGGTAAAACTTTAATGTGTGCGTAGAAAATGATAGACAGTGTGTCTTCATAGTTCTGTTGTGTAGTGCTGTTACACTTTATGTGATAGCAAGGCAATTAGAGTTACAAGTCTTCTATCTTTTACTTATTTTCACTAATTCTCTTCCTAATCAGCTTTATACAAAAGCTGTGATCTGATGTGGAAGCAGAGTGTTTGGACATCCACTATTTCCAGCCACCTAGCCACAAAACATCTGAAAGAAGGCGGCCTCTTGACTTTGACAGGAGCTCAAGCTGCTTTATCTGGAACCCCAGGTAAGATGCAATGCATGATAACTGCTGGGACATCAGCAGTTACAGCTATCTGTTAGTGTGAGCATCCTTGTTTGTGAAGCAACAGTTTCACTCCCCAGTTCCTTGCCATCTAGTACAAATGGAAAATTGCCTCTGAAACACTTCAGGAAAGTGTCGTTTTACAGGTAGCAATACTGGATGTCTTGAAGCTGGAGTGCAAACAGATAGAATCAGTATTTAAATAGTATTTGACATGCATCAGTGAAATGTACTTGGCTAATATATGATGCAGTAAAAAAAGTTTGGAAAATAATGAATAGAAGCACACAGCAAGCTGTAAGTACAGTGATTAAATAAAGCTGAATCTCCTATTGTGTTCTGAAAGGGAGTCCTTAACTGTCCAGTTTTTTCCATTGGTGCTGACTCAGCTGATTCTCTTAAATGTGCTTGTCCTGTTCACGTTCTTATTCCAGTCTGCCTTTGCTTCAGACATAGATAAGCTTGTTGACCTTCAGCTTTGACCTCCACTAGCTATTTAATACAAACTTACTGAGTTTTTTCATTTTGCTCCTTGCCATTTGACCTTCAGCTTTGACCTCCACTAGCTATTAATACAAACTAACACAGACTTACTGAGTTTTTTCATCTTGCTCCTTGCCACGTTGGTCTGCATGAAGGAAGAAATCTGGGAGCAGTTTAAAATTTAAAAGGGCACAGACACACAAGCCCATAGGCAGGAAGAGGAAAGTTTTTGAGACAAATACTCTTAGTTCCCAATCTTTTATTAGTGTGACTTGAACAATATTTTTATGAGACAGATACTAAAATTTTAAAAATATATTCATGAAAACTGTCTAAAACTGTTCAGGAAAAATAATGCTGTATTTTCTAGTTTATGATTTATCTGATGTGTTTACAGCTGCATCTGGCATAGTCTGAAGATAAAAGGCTTATTTCATGAGAATAAGCAGATTAATAATTTACTGTGTACTACTGACTGACCATATACAAATGAAAAAATATGAACTCTGGCAAACATTCATGTTGTTTTTTGTTTGAGTAGTCTTGGGAGGTAGGGACCACAACCCAGGAATCAAAGTGATTTGCTTTCATGTTTTGAACCAGCTGGTTTTGGCGAGTCTGGATTTTTCTGAAAAACACAGCAGTGCTTTGGGCAAACACATGCAACTTATTAACATCAGGATAGAGTTGTTACTCAACCTTTGCAAATATGACTTGTTGGCCTTGTTACTACCAGCTGTTATGGAAGGAACCATTGTTTTTTCTTGTTTGCTGTTAGTGTCATTTTTCTCTTCCTATGTGAAAATGTTATCTCACATAATGCAAATTGGGGAATACTGAGAATTCCATAAACAGTTACAGAAGCAGTCTGACAGTGAAGGCTAAGATGTAGAAGCAGGGAAAGGTTTAAGAAGACTTGAAATATTTGGTTTAGATGAGGCAAGAGGGGAATATGATAGAGATGGAAATATTTTTATTGTAACAATAAAATAAATTAGCTACTGCTGCCCATGATTCCTCCTAATAAAGGAGGAATGTTATACCATATGTCTAATTTAATATAATGGAAACACTTCTACAGTGCAGAATTACCTTTGTAACTTTGGTACAGAATACTTGGGAACATTGGAAAGGAGTTGTGTAGCTATATAGATGGGTAGAAATGCATCCAGTTGTGGTAGACAAAATACATTTATTTTTTTCTTATGTGTTTAATCTGTGTCTAGAGTGCTTGGCAGATATACCATGAGACATCTCAGACCTATAGCACTCTGAAGGGGTATCTTGTACCTGACCAGTGTACCTTATGCTCTCATTCCTGTTGCTCTTTCACTGCTAAATACTGTCTGCCTAGAAAGCAACAGTGTTTAGGAAGAAGTTTGCTTTACCTGCAGGTTATTTAGTAATTTTCTACCATGAGGGTGGGTTGTGGTGTTTTTTTGTTTTTTGGGTGTTTTTTTTGTTTTGTTTTGTTTTTGTTTTTTTTTGGTGTGTGTGTAGTTTTCTCCAAAGGGCTTGTCAGACTTGGGATGCTGACCAAGTGAGTTACACTTCTGGAGGGAAATGAGCTTTATCTGTTTGGGTCCAAACTTGCAAATACCGTGGTCATAGATTAAAATTAATGGATGATTACTTTATTAATGTCTATAAGCATCTTCACATTTAATCTATTAGATTTGTAAGGTTAGCCCTGTAGGTCTCATGGTTCAGGGTACATTTGGGTACATTAACTGAACATACTTAACTCGGTAAGCTGCTTATTTCTGTAGTGCTGAGTAAACTGCGTTCTGTGATGTTTCTGGATGTCTAGTAAGAGCTTTTTATTCTTTTCCGTTTTTGTTTTAGTATGTATGTTTTGGTAAGTTTAAAAAGTCTGATTCTGTTCTGGCTGTGGTAAGTGGTCTTAGTATTCATCAAAAAATCTGAATTTCTATCATACAGCTGATGATATTGAGAGCTGTTTTGATTGTGCTCTAATTTGCCTGTTTTTAATTGTTAGGGATGATTGCCTATGGCATGGCCAAAGGAGCAGTGCATCAGCTTTGTCAGAGTTTAGCTGGTGCCAATAGTGGCTTGCCATCTGGTTCTGCTGCTGTTGCCATTTTACCGTAAGTGGTTGCATAGTAGCCTCTGCCTGTGTTATTTTATTTAATTACTGCTGTAACCTAGAGTCACATGGATATGCTTGTGATGTCCTGCTCACAGTACACAAACAGCTCCTCACACCTACTTAGTCTCACAGAGAAAGGAGGGATCTTGGATATATGAACGTAATGATATGCAAGTCAACCTAAAATTGATTAAATTATTTTATTTTCCTTTCATTTGCAAAACAGTAATGGATATTAGAATTTGATTCACTTTTAACTAGTTTAACTGTAGCCATGCTTTAGAGTGTTATTTTTTTTTTTTTTCAGTAGAGACAGAACTTGCAAAATGAGATGAGCTATTCAGCACAGTTTTAGACTTAACTATGTAATAACAGTAAAGCAAAGAATTACATGACAAGTTTTGACTTGGTTAAAGATCCTTCTTCATAGTGTACTGCATACCTATGTTTGATGAGTAAAATTAGGTCACTCTGAGGATCTGTGAAAATAAAAAGTTTAGCTTGCATTTGCTTGTCACAGCTTTCTTTTTGACAAGGAAAGCTAGTAAAAAGTGGATGGCCTAGTAGGTCTTCACTATGTCTAAATTTATCAATTCTACTGCAAAAATTAAGTCTCTTGCGATATCCATGTCTAGGTCAGGACCCAAAACTTAGGACTAAAGAGTTCTGTGTAGAGATTTGGAACAGCACCTGAATTCTCCTTGCTTTGCTTTCCTAATTACATGCTCTTATGTGCACTTCTTCAAGTCAGAGAACAACAGCATTAAAAGTTTTTGCGTAATTGATACCATGTTCTACAGAGCTTTATGGGCAGGCAGACACCAAGATCACTGGACTTCTGGTCATTCTGCACTTGCATAGTTCTTGTGCGAAACTCTGTTCTTGAGTGAATTGTTGAGAGAGTAATTACATCTTGGATTGTTAACAGCATCTCAGTCAGGGAGTTGTGAAAAGTTCACCACCTTAATATCATTGTGTGAAACATAAATATGTGTCACCAGAGTCGAAACTTCCTGTGCTTGTGCCCTTCACCTCTGCATTTGCAGCTGGCACGAGGCTATTTGAAAGCGTGGCTGTCGTGCACGTGCGCTGTGTGATACATGCGAACAAGCGTATTACTGCCATTCCCTGTCAGCATGAGAGAGACTGGAAGGGAGCTGTGGGTTAAGTGATTGTGCAAATTGGGCTGGATGTCATCAGCAAGCCAGGAAAGTGAGGGGGTTATAGGTTGGAGCCTTTGATGTACATTGAAACTGATGGCTGTATGCTGTTAACACATGTAGAGGATGCAAGGGAAATCCATACCACGTGGTATAAAAGCCAAGCATATGTTACAGTGATGAATAGAAGCAGGTGGTGCTTATCAGAAACATGCTACATAAATAAGACTTATCTCTTTTAATCACAGTGTTACCTTAGATACACCAGCAAACAGGAAATCAATGCCTGACGCAGATTTCAGCTCCTGGACACCCTTAGAATTCATTGCTGAGTGAGTATCTGTGTAATAACTAAGCAATTCCTCACTGTCCCTCTTGCTGCTGCATCTTACTGCATGTTCTTTCTAAATAGCTGTCTTGGATTTGTGTGGTTTTTTTCCTCCCTCACCCCTCATTTTGTATGTTTCTAGATCATGTTGGGTTTATTGCACAGGCTTCTCAACTGGAGAAAACTAGCTCAACTCTGTCAACTTCAGCACCTCTGCACCAGTTATTCCAACAAGAGAGATAGCCTTAAGCTGTTGGAAGACAGAGAATCTCATAAAGCCTGTAGACAAATTAAATTACAGGCAGCAGATGTAGGAGGCAGTAGTCTGGCTTAAAGGTAAATTGCAAATAGGCACATAAACTTTGGGATTTTTTTTTTTCTTTTAAACACTCTTTACTGACCTAAAGTGTCTGTGGTGTGTTAGTTCACTTCTCTCAGCTGGCAGAATTCCTGCTCTTGTTTAGGAAAACTGCATCAAGATTTTTTTTTTTTATTACCATCATCCATAAAGACTTGTCCTGAACGATGTTGCAAAATGCTGAAACTTCAACTGTCACTTGTTTAACAGCAGAGTGAGATTATACTCTTACTCTTTCTAATTCCTCTCAGAGAAAGTGCAGTGTAAGTGCTGCTCCCTGTGATGTGATAGGGAGTAGCAAAGATTCTGCTGAGGGTGAGCTGTCAAAGGGAAGAAAATAAGGAAACAATTATCTTGCCTCTTTGAGGAAGAACAAAGATGAATCTACATTCATACATTGTAAAGGGCTTTACTCTTACATGTTTTTAGTCTTTTAGAATTAACACTGAAATTACAGTTTACAATTATTGCTAATTGTTCAGAAAGTAGTTTAGTTCTGACATTAGATTTTCTTCTTTTTGTGGTTTTTAAGTTGAATGTCAGAGTGGGAAGTGGGTTTTGTTGTGAGAATCCTGTGCAGCTGTTTGATGTCGCTGTTCAAAAGGGCCTCATCAGTTGAATTTAATTGGCCTAAAATGTAAAAAAAAAACCCCAACTTTAATTTATTGTGCTTAGCCAGATGTTGTGGTTTTACAAATTCTTTTTTTAATTTTAACTTCTAAGTATTTTTTCCTTTGAGTAGAATTAGGTTGGTTTGTTTTTTCTTCTAATTCACTAAACTTTAAATCCAGCTTTGAAAACTGAAAAATCTCATCGTCTGTGAACGACAAGCATCCAGTGTTGTTAAGTGTTGGTAACATCTGCATCTTGGGAAGGATGTGGGAAATCTTTTCCCATATGGCACTCGAATTTTGTGCCCTGGAAGCTGTTGTCAGATAGCAGGATGTTGCAACATGGCAGTTGCTACATCTGCAATATTGGAAGATTTGATGGACCTGAAAAATTGATTGTGCTTTCTGTATTATGTTTTGAGTGAGGAGTTTGTATTACATTTTGTTAAGGAGTGTTCTGGTGTGCTACTTAGAACGAGTCCATCTTACTTCGCATTAGTTTGGAAGTCTGAAGGCTTTCTGTGCTTCTGCTGAGACCACTTTCACACTTAAACACCTAAGTGTTGCCATGGTCTGTTGGCAGAGTAAGGGGTTTAGCAGCTCTATTTATCCATCAGTCTGTGTTCTTAATATATAGTTTAAAGTCAACTTAAGCATCCTCTCCTTGCCCTTTTCACCCTTTCCAATTTTTTTTTTTTTTTTTTAACTTGGAGAAAACTTGACACTTGGCTTGCCACTGTGAGATTTTTAAGATCCTGGCCTTTTCCTTTGAGATGTTCTGAAAATCCCATGTGTGCGCTGTGAAGCTCTATGGATTTCTCTGGGCCTCTGTCTAGCTCCGAGGGTCTGCATCCAGTGGTTGCATTGCTAGTTTATAACATGCAGAGAAATCACTAGGGAGGGTGATAGGAGAAGAAAGAAAAGTAATAGTCTGTTTTATGCTTCCTGTCAATTTACCTGATAGTAGCTTTTTTTTTTTTTTGCCTCCTCCTCACCCTGTTTTATCAATTTATTTTAAAACAGAACCTTTTACGACTGGATAACAGGAAAGAATCGACCAAACTCAGGGAGTCTAATCCAGGTGATAACTACAGGAGGGAAGACTGAACTAGTTGCAGCACATCTTTGATGTCAGTCACTTAAGATGGTAGAATTTCAACAAAGGAGAAGCTGTGGAAAATTGGTCTGCCAGTCTAATTTGGATGGTCTTCTGTATCCAGTGATTGTAGTTATGTCATTGATGGAACCAGATTTCAAGTAATACTTCTGTGCTGTCAGTTGTGAGCTATCACCATTTGTTTACCAACAGATACCAAGCCTTGTCTCTAAATGAAAGTTGCAGGCTTTGAAGTCTGTAGATGTCCTAATTCTGAGCATTATATGTCAACTTACGTGTTTTCTCTGAAATGGGAATTGTGCTTAATTATGTCATGTAATCACATATATAATGGTTGGACTTTTCTCTCAGTCAGTAAGCTTCTGGCAACTTTTTGTGAACCTTGCAGTAGTCTGTCTGTCTTTTTCTGTCTGAAAATGTAATCCTGCCCCTGCATATCATGTTGACTGTAATTATAGGAATTGTTACAGTCATATATAATGTGCTAGTCTTGTAACATTTTCTTGTGAATGTTCCACTTGAGTTAATGGAATTGTATAGAGATTACTCACTTGAAAAGGAACTCCTAATTTGCCTTACCATATATAAGCTGCTATCAGGCCTACAATCCTACAAGTAGGATGAAATGGTGATTTGGCCAAATGACTAGTATGTCTTTTTGTTGGTCATGATGGTTCTTTACTTTCTGAAAAAGCAAAGTGCTGTTAAGAAGTACTAGAGAAAGCATACACACACTTCTATTTGAATATGGAACTTTTTGTGCTAAATAAATGTATATTGTTTTATGTGCTGGGCTGTTTCCATCACTCTAATACAAATATTTGGATAACGTATTAATCAACTTAACTAAACTTGCAGTTCAGTTATGGCAAAGGACTTCATTTTTTACCTAGCTCCTTCTGATCATGTCGTGTGAAATACATTTCTGTGTTGGAGGTGCAGCAGAGGAACTGACTGTGCCTAGAGCTGGGCCTTCAGTGTGTTCTGTAATCCAGCCACATTACATGGAAATGCAGTGTGGCTGCAGAGTGAAAGTACTGCCTGTTCTGAGTGTTGCCTTACGTGGGACCAGTGCTGTCAGGTTTTTTGGAACATCTTGTAAATAACTGAACATGCAAAGTTCTATGTACATTCTCTCAATGCACTTTTTTTACTAACTTCAGAGTTGTGTTGGGGAAGGATTTACTGATGTGTGTTGGGAAACCTTTCCCCACTTCCCACTTAGGAAAAGCTCACATGTGCCCGTATCACTTCTAATGTGGTCATATGGCTGTCTGACTGCTTTTTCTGGTAAGACTGTCCCTTTACTCATTTTGTTCTGCTGCATGCAGAGGTGTTGAGGGGAATTTTTGTGTCCTGTCAAACCAGTCAAGAACTGTCAATTCATGAAGCTACTTTTGATTTTATATGAGAGACCTGCAGCCATACTGTTTGACCAGCAATTTCTACAGGCTAAAAGTACAGACAAAAACTGCAAGGCACTGAGAGAGAATGAAACACTAAGGTGTTACTTGATTATTCTGGAAAAGGGAAGAGCTATTGTACCATGACCTTACATGGTTGGAAGGCTTCCCTTTGCCAAGCTAGCTGAATTTCCAGGTGCCTTTCAAGTTGCTGTGTTGTCTTTTTGCAAACATAGAATCGGAGTGTTGTGAGTTGGAAGGGACACACAAGGATCATCAAGTCCAATTCTTGTCCTAGCATAGGACAGTTGCAAGATTCAGACCATGTGCCTGAGGGCCTTGTCCAAATGCTGCTTGAATATTGTCAGGCTTGGTGCCATGACTACCTCCCTGGGGAGCCAGTTCCAGTGCTTCACCACCCTCTGGATGAGGAACCTTTTCTGAATGTCCAACTTACACTTGCTCTGGTGCATCTTCCTGCTATTTCCCCTCTTTTGAATTGTGTCTCAGAAGCTCCCTGAAGAGCAGACCAGACTATTGAATGGTGATGGGAGCACAGCTGGGATTCCAGATGTGCATTTCTGCAGCTGTATAAGAGCACAGGGCCAAGGGCGTAGCAGGCTGTATGGCTCATGGATGTTTTTACAGAACTGGCTGAGGCAGAAGATGGTCACATAGCAAATGGCACTAAGACAAGCAGAGAATCTTTTATCTACTGAGGGCTACAAGGGTTTTTCAGGCATCTTTTCTAGATTACTTGTGCATACCTGGACATTAATGTTATTATTAATAACCTGCTGAGAAAGGCAAATGGTTGCTAATGGGTCATGTGAAATTAAGTTGAAGGTTGTGTCTAATCAATCATGAGATTATGCAGGAGGAAAGAGGGAAGCTAGATTTAAATTTTAGTAGAGAGCAAAAGGTCCAAAAAAGACAATGAGGCAGGATCCCTGCATTTCAGAAGCTACACTGATTACTGCTTCACTAGAAAGACCTGGTGGTCCTGGTAGGAAAACCTGAGGCAAATCTGTGGTTCTGCCCGAGATGCTTCAGGTATGCTGTGCTAGAGACAGGGCCTCAGATACAGGGGAGATGTCAGGTGTCTACACTATGCTAAGGAGAGGGTCACTAAGCTTGTAGAGACCTAACCTGGCTGGTTGTCTCCTTCCATGTCATATGGCATGAATGCACCAGTGCAGGTCTAGCAGCAGAACAGCTGTGTTAGGGCAGTCCTGGACAGGAAGCAGTGCCACCAGTCACTCTGTGCTGCTGGCTGTGTGCAGCTCTAGCTCCCGTGACAGATCAGCATCTCACAGGGGTCTGCAGTGCATCTCCTGACAGCTGCTCACCCAGCATGTTGAATGAAAGGCTTTGTAAGACAGAGCAGCTACATGAACGTGTGAGATGGAAGAAATCCATGTTGAATGGAGTGTGGACGTAGTGACAGGAACGTTGTCCTCAATTGAGCTTTCCTCCTTCCTCTCTTGTTTGAAGGGGGTAAATGGTAGAAGAGGAACAATTTATCTGTTCCACAGAAGGTGTCTACCCCAGTGTCCTCATTCAACTTTTACTGGTGCCTACTGGTTAAGAAGTGGTAATACAGGTATTGGAAAAAATAGTGTGTTGACTGTAGCAGTGTAAGAGTGGTGAAATATGCTGACTGTGAAACAGTGATTAATGTTAAAACATAATTGTGAATGGAAGACTGTTGACTGGATTATTAACTTTTATCAGTTGTGGGTGGGAATAGAGAGAGATTAAAATGGCTTTATTGAAGCTTGAGAGTGAGAATCGAGGTGGCGGCAAGTGTATGTTAAGCTTGCTGCTAGAGGTGAGAGATTTAACCCAGGGAGTTTGATGGAAAGGAGGCTTTATGTTATGAGTTTCACCCTGGGTCTCTACAAATATTATTCCAGCTAAGTAACTGTAGGAAAAAAAACACCCTGACACTGCAAACATCTGGGTTGCCCAACTCCTTCACCAGGCTCAGAGAGCCGTTGGTGCTGTGATGAGGGGGAGAGTTGTAGTCTGTGGGAACTGCAGGGCATTAATCCATACTAAACACAGGCACACACACACAACTGGAGACTGGAGGTCTGTTGTGAAGATTTTCACAGAATCACAGAATGATTTGGGCTGGAAGGGACCTGTGAATATAATCTAGGCCAACCCCCCTGCCATGGGCCAGGACAACTTAGTGCTTCTTCCAGAAATGCAGTATCTGATGAATTTCCACTCCAGTGTCGTTGAGAACCCCTGAATTGTTCAGCATATTTTACTATTTATGTGGCACTTTCAACAACAGTGTAATACTACAGAAGTAAGAAGTTTATTCTCCTTTAATTTAAGGAATGCAATATTTATTCATATATACATTAAGTAGCTGAATTTACAATTTTTTTATTTAGGACTGTGCAACTGGTGTCATATTAAAAAATTCACATGTGTAGATCCAATTTAGTAAGGCACTTTTCTACACAGCCTTCTTTTGAAGATGCATACTGCTGTTTACTAAAGAAGGAGATCGGTGAGGTCTGGGGAGAAGGAAGACACAAATGGTGCCACACAGATCAGCCCTGCTCTTATGCTGTAACCCCTTTGTGGGGTAAAAAACAGCATTCTGTTTTTTACGGGGGTAGCAGTCTACCCCTTGTTCTTAGGAAGGGGATGTTTCCAGACCCGAGCCAACGTGGCTTTGCAGAGATGATGCAATTACATGGTACATCCGTGCACACACAGGTGCAGTTACTCCAAACTGAGGCAGCTGTTACACATGGCACCAGATGAAATGTGCAGAGACAAAATGCGTCTTTGCCAGAATGCCGCAGCCACAGGGACAGATCTCTTTTATATGCATATTTTTTTCTCCTACAGATTTTGAAAAAATTGATTTTCATAAGGCACAAGTAAGTATAAGACAGAAGAGTATCATTAGTATCATTACAAATTCAAATACTTCCAGATACTGGGCAAGAAGCTGTTTTCAACATTTTGGGCTGTTGACCCTGGCTGGATACCAGCTGCCCACCAAAGCCCACTCTATCACTCCTTCTCCTCAGCTGGACAGGGGAGAGAAAAATATAACAAAAGGCTTGTGGGTCAGGATAAGGACAGGGAGAAATTACTCAGCAACTACTGTCACAGGCAAAACAGACTCAACTTGGGGAAATTAGTTAATTTATTACCAATCAAATCAAGAAAGGTAGTGAGAAAAACCCCCAAATCTTAAAATACTTTCCCCCAACCCCCCCCCTTCTTCCCAGGCTCAACTTTATTCCTGAATTCTCTACCTGAGTGGCACAGGGGGATGAGGAATGGGGGTTGCAGTCAGTTCATTACACATTTCTGCTGCTCCTTTCTTCTCAGGGGGAGGACTTCTCACACTCTTCCCCTGCTCCAGCACGGGGTCCCTCCCATGGGAGACAGTCCTCCATGAACTTCTCTGACATGAGTTCTTCGCATGGGCTGCAGTTCTTCATGGACTGCTCCAGCATGGGTCCCTCCTGCAGGGTGCAGTCCTTCAGGAACAGACTGCTCCAGCGTGGGTACCCCATGGGGTCACACGTCCTGCCAGCAAACCTATTCCAACATGGGCTTCTCTCTTCGTGGCGTCACAGGTCCTGCCAGGAGCCTGCTCCAGCGCGGGCTTTCCATGGGCCTCCTGCAGGCATCCACCTGCTCCATTGTGGGGTCCTCCACAGGCTACAGGTGGACATCTGCTCCACCATGGACCTCCATGGGCTGCAGGGGTACAGCCTGCCTCACCATGGGCTTCACCACAGGCTGCAGGGTAATATCTGCTCTCATGCCTGAAAGACTTTCTCCCTCTTCTTCTTCACTGACCTAGGTGCCTGGTCCCCATCCTTCTTCAGTGACCTTGG